GGGGGGGGGGGGGGGGGGGGGGGGGGACTTGCAGGCCTCAGCTCGGAGATGTAATCTGATTTGCAGAAAGGAACGGGTCGTTTCACATGACTGGTTTAAAGGACCACTGGCGCAAGGTTGTGCCAGTGTCCTGTGTGTGTGTGTGTGTGCACACCTTCAAGCATTTATTTGTTTTCACAAAGTGTGCTGCAGAAATATGAGCATTTGTTAGTGCAGGCTCCTCAACAGTAGAAATAGAAAGGTGTTGAAGTTTGCTGTGTGGTTGAAGAAACCAAAATGCTGCTTTTAGTTGTTCTTGGTTTTAAATGAGATTTAGTTGGGGAAGCTTACATGAAAGTAAGGCCACTGCTAATTAAGACTCGATTACGCATCTGGAAAAAAGTACAGCTCTGCTTCAGACTCCGATGCAGGTTTTGTTTGCAACTTTGTTTACACATCTCATATAATCAGAGCTTTATTTTGAACTAATGGACCATCAGAATTTATATCAAATAATTGAAATCATCCTATAGCCTCAGCCCTCTTTAGAGGGCTGCTAGCATCAAATCCCCTGAAAGCTTTGCCTCTGAATCCTCTCTGTTTTTTTAACATTGTTTGTTGATGTTTTTTCGGGGTGGAGATTCTTGGTGGTTTTTTCAGAGCTGGATGTGGTCCATCATGTGATTTTCATTGGAGAGTGGCCGGAGGAGACGATCACAGTAAAAGCAAGTGAGCGTGTGTGAGCGTGCGTTTGTGTGTCATCTGGCCTTGTTAATAAATGCAGGTTGTTTTCCATCTGGGGGTCATCAGTTGCGGTCATGACATACACAAGTGGAAGAGAAGAGGTGATGTTTGCAGCCATGTGTGCGCTTGTTGGTGTGTCTGTGTACTTGCTTGTTTACACGTAAGCATGTACAGAACATACGAGTTGTACATATGATCTCTCACAGTTCACGTCTGTCTTTCCTGCGAGGTGTGTGTGTGTGTGTGTGTGGCTGTGTGTGTGTGTGTGCGTGTGTGTGTGTGTGTGTGTGTGTGTGTGGCTGTGGCTGTGTGTGTGTGTGGCTGTGTGTTTTTTCTCCCATGTGTGGAGAGCTCATAAGCAGGACGATGCAGCGGGCAGGAAGCTCTGATCCCATCAGGCGTGTCAGCAGGGGCAGTTTTTCATAAGGTAGTAATCTCACCACACAAAGGGGTGTCCAATATTAGAGAGAGCCCCTACCCCTGAGCTAATCAAGACCTGACCAACCCTTCTCCTGGCTCACCAACCCTGTAAACATTACCTCATCTGGAGGCTTAGCCTAGCCACATGCAGCTCCAGCCTGCTGGTGTACATGATAACTCACTTAGCTCAGTACGATAGCTAGAAAAAAAACGGAAATATAAGAAGGGATATAAAAGAAATGGGACCAGCACACAACTACCTATGGTGCCTGGTGCCAGGGAAAGGTATTTTAAAAGGGAGAGGAAAGAAAGAATTATTTTACCATGTCCTCCAGAAACTCTGGGAAGCAATTTGCTGGTATTCAGTTTCTCTCCCCGCCGTCCTGTTATTGCTGTTTCCCCCTCAACTCTTGGAGCTTTCAACCTGAAAGGAGGTTCTTAGGTTCAGGCTTTGTGTCACTCGGAAACAGTCCATTTGTTTCCAAGGTAACAGGTCTGGGACAGTGAAACTCAGAAGCAGAGAGCACCTTTGTCTGTGATTGGATGAAGAGGGACCCAAGCTGTCATTGGTCCAGAGAGCACAAACATGTCTGTATGAGGAAACCTGCGAGTTCCTTGATCCAGTATCTACCTGAACCTGTTGACCTTATAAAATAAAACCAGTCCACCAAGTAAATTTTAATTGGTACAATGGAAAAGCCACTTTGACTGCTTCCACTCTCCTGAACTGCCAGGTACTGCAGAGCTCTGCTGAAACCTTAGATTTACATAAAACAGAGTTAGGGTGATCTATGTGGCTACCTCAGGTTTGACTTTTTAAATGTTGTGTGAAGATACTGGAGAAGGTCTGAGTCATGTGGTCATTATAAAACAAGTGTGGTTGAGCGAAAGCCTTAAAAATAGTGTGACAAAAAGGCAATAAGAGCATGTGAGAGTGTGTGTCCCTGTTTTATTAGAATAATGTGTAGTAGTATGAAGAAGAAAAAAATACAGGAACATAAAAACGAATCAATGCATTTTGTTTTTGTTTTTTTTTTGTTTTTTTGTTTCTTTAAATTTTGTTAAATAATAAAGTTTTGAAACTGCTTCACTATAAACTCATTTCACCTATGAAAACAGATAAACAGAACTATTTCCTCTCAGTGTACTGTTGAGAAATAAATTGTAGTTGGATTGTTAATGCAGGTTTAGGCAGAGTTGGACTGATTTAAATCTGATTCCTCAGTTTTTTGTCAACCTTTATGTTTACACTTGAATGAGCCCCTTGCTGAATCATTTCATTTCCCCCATCCTTTATCTTTTTCAGATGATCTCAGATGAGCAACAAGAAGAGGTTGACTAATGGAAACATGATCTCAAGGGATTCAACAGGTAGGGATGACTCTGATTTTTGTTTGATCTTCCTTCAGTGGAATATATGATCGCTGACAGTCTTATTATGATCACAGACAGTTGCCATAAACAACCTGAGTTTGGTACACTCACTGATCAAACAGGTAGCAGTGGTAGTTCACATGTAGAAGAGACATGATCAGGGTGGTGGCACTGGCTTTATGCCCATGTTCTTGCTTCTTTTTTTTTTTTTTTTTTTTTTTTTTAATATATTGTGTAACTCAAGTCATGACAGCATGGTAAAGAATGCAGTGGCACAGAGATATCACTTCAAACACAGCTTCTCTCAGGAGCCTCAGATCCTTTCAGTGGAACTGAATGAAGATATGCTTTGATGGCCCACCACAGAGTCGGTGGCCATCAAAGAAACCTGTTGATGGGACTGTACAGGGCAGCCAGAAGGCTGAATGAGTGGTTCTGTATATGTGCGCCTCTCAGGGTAGCCGTGGGTGTTCTCAATAGAGGTCATACATGCTTGACCCCAACATGAGTAGTCTTTTTCTGAAGATTTTAGGCTTGCATTATCTTTTTTTTTTTTGTCCTCCTCCTTCTACCTGGTTCTCTCAGTAAATGAAGCGGGACTGTGTGTATGGATGGCAGCGAGCCAGCAGACAGGTACAGTAGATGTGCTGATGAGGGAGGGAGATAGGGTGACAGCCTCAGTCGCAGCTCCAGGCACAGACAGGCGTACGCGGGCAGGCTGAGGCTCAGAGGCAGGTTGGGACCTGGTCCTGTGTGCTGATGCTGCTCTACTGGCTCTGCTCCAAGGTGAGGCATAGGAGAGAAACGTGGGAAGGGAAAAACCAGAATGGAGGGCAAAGGAGAGATAGAAAAAATCAGGTAAAGGGAAAGATTGTTGAGAGGTGAAGCTGAAAAAGCATACAACTAAAAAAAAAAAAAAAAAAAAAAAAAAAAAAAAAAAAAAAAAAAAAATGAGGGATAGATAATAACAGTGTTGACAAAAAGCCAGAGAGTGGTTGTAGCTTAAGCCAGGGGAAGCAAGCTGGAAATAGACAGTGATGTATGAGGCCCAAGGGAAGGAGAAAGAAGTGCTGGAGGAGGGAAATGAAGAATGAGTACAAGAGAGTGAGGCCACATCCTTTACACTGGTGGAACGTGACTCCTCGCAGGTAAACCAGCTCAGAGGTGCAGACAGGCAGAAAGTAGATGGGAGACATTGATGGATGACTACTTATCCTCTGACATGTTGTTCCTTCCCCGGGCAAGGAACGGGCAGGACGGGCCGGTCCTGCCACTTTGCTGCCATGACAACCAGCAGGGCTGAGTGGATGGTGTGTGTAGGGGCAGACAACATTATGTCATTATGTGGGAGGTTGTATGCTTAAGCAACAGGTAAAGCAGAGCAGAGGTTGTCAAGGGGCCACCTACCTGCATTACCTCACCTTGGGATGTTCTGACGTTGTCGTGAAGAAACATCTGTTGTACACAGATCCACGGTACTCTCAGAGGACAACGTCATTATCATCCAAGCTTGTTGTTCTGGATAGAAATCAGTTTTGCTATCTTCTTCATGATCTGTTCACACACACAAAAGTGATATTTCATGTCCTGAAATGAGACATATACGTGACATAAACAGGACTTTTCTTTCTTTTCTTTTTTTTTTCTTTCTTTTTTGGCCTAAACTATACAAGACTGACATCTTAATTCTGGTATTGGACTGAAAAATAGCCAGTTCCAGCTGCACAATGAGCAGGCTCGCTGTTTCGTATCCACAATGCTGGACACAAAACACACAGCCTGGATTTTGCCACCACTCATAATGTGATAATTTCGGCTGTGGATGAGGCTCTGGGTGGTTCATCTGAAGCTTCTTTATGCCAGTTTGAATCCTTTTTTTTTTTTTTTTTTTTTTTTTTTTGTATGGAAAGTTTGCGATAGCAGCCAAATCTGTTCTGCTAAAGGAATCAGTGGAGCAAAAGTTTGTGTTGATCAGTTTTGGGTGAATCTCTGCTTACTCGAGCTAACAGTTACTTCTATTATTAAGAAAAGATATTGCCAGAAAAGCCTGTAATTTTTTGTAGAATGGGTATGAGAAACATGTGTCATTGTTCAAGCTGCAAGTGGTTTTTGGCTTCAGTCAATCATTAGTTTCTGTATTATGTTTCTAGGATCATACTAAATCCTGGTTTGGACTGTGGACCAGCAATCCCCTGCAGCAGATGTTTGCTCCTGGCATGGCAGCTGACAGCATGAGCTCCATCACTGACAATCGTGCGCTCAGGATCCAGCGCCAGCAGCTTGGACTTGGAGAAGCTGTGACATAAACTCAGCAGGACAGGAGAGTGTATTCTGCTGCTCAGACATTATGGAACAGATCAGTCAGCCCTGTCTGGGGAGGTGCTCGATAGGAAAGTCGAAACTCGATGAATGTGCGTTTACCATAGTCACCACAATGAATCTACATATTATTTGACTTTGTCTTAATTGAACCTGGATTAATATTTTCCTGTATATACATCTGCTTCTGATATCCACTGTTTATTCACACTGTTGCTCATACACTTGTACTGTAGTTGTGACATTTACTGTGTTATTCTGGGACCCGTATCAACAAGTGCTGGAACCGTAAATGGAAAATAATCAGATGCTATTTTCATTTTTAAGACTATTTTAACAAACTGAAGGCAGCGCTTGCAACAGCGCAGGCACATTCTGTCTGGTGAAGAGCACAATAAATGTCTACTGTTGTGTAGGACAAATATATACATATGTGGTCAAGATTCCTTGCAATAATTACTCATATGATTACTGGAAATGTACATAATCATCTTCTAAGGTCAATAACAAAGAAGCTATTATCTAAAAGGTGCTGATGAATGCAAATCAAAAACCTCTTCTATTGACACTGTGTTTCACTGTGACAGATTGACAGCCCGTCATATTGCTTAATAACCCTGTCAAGCTGCTTATTCTCATGATGATTTGTAACTCCATAACTTTTGTTGCGTCTGTGAAACCCTATTAACAGAAATAATAATAAAACAAAGTGTATCCAAGCTGTTGTGTGTTTATATTGTTATTGCAGCTGCAGATCCATGAGATTAATAACTGATAAGATGATTTCATGATGTTTGTTGTGTGCCAGCAAATGTGTGTCTGCTATTATTGTGAGTCATCCTGGCTTCTTTACTAGTAAGGCCAGTAACTTGCCAGTTTGTTACTGTCTGGGAACTGTCAGGAGTTTTATCTCTCTGTATTTTTTTTTTCTTCTGTCTTCTCTGTTCAGGAAATGAGATACAGAATAAAAGTGAAATTCAAAGTGGAAGTGGAGAAATGTGACATTTAAATGTTGATAAACTGAATTGTTATTGGAAATCACAGTTTTACTTCACAGTGGGAATAATGGATCAAATTTAAAAGTGCACATCTTGCACAAAATCATAGTTTACATTTATCACAAAGTTGTTTTCCAGGAAAAAAAAAGATGACATCATGGAAAATGTGTTTTTGCCTGCTGAGTTTACTTTCTGTAAACCTTGTATGTATGATGTTGACAGAGAAGTGTTTAATGTCACAGTCTAGGTCAGCACAGGTCAAACTGCAGGGAGTTTTTATCATGTTGTGGATAAAAATCCCCAAAGTTGCCAGTTTTCTGTAGAAAGACATTCCAGCGTACACAACAAATGCACTTATTGTTTTCAATTAGTGTGGGTGAGTTCAACAATTCAGCAGTGACTTCCCATTCAACTGTCTCTCACTGTCAATTTCAGCTGTGATTCAATAAGGTTTAGCTTGGGTGGGTGGGGGGTGGGGGTAGCAGAGTTGCTAAGGGGGTAATTATTCCTCAAGGGGTTGCTTATTCTTGTCTTTCTCTCTGTGATAAAACAAAGCCAAGCGGTCTAGTCTCCATTGCTGTGTGTTCAGGCTTTTATTCTGCCGTTTGACAATGTCCTGACAAGTTATTCAAAGCATCACAGGGCTCATATTAAGAATCAAATTTGTGGGGGACGAGGTCAGTGCCATCTGAAAAAAGGAAAAGGGGTGTGAAGGCTCCAGTGCTGATGTTTTGGAAGTTGAGCTTCATGACATCCTTATGGCCTTGCTTACGGTCAACAACATTAGCATGTCAACAATGCACTTCCTTGCTTGCCCACCCCCCCCTCCCCTCACTTTTTTTTCACACACATACACACATACACAGCTCAGGGGAAAAATGACCTCTCTGCAGCTCTCAATTCACTGCACTTCTATAGCCCTGAATGGACCAGCTCAACAAAAGGTGACATAATTTTCTCAGGGTTTGATTGGCCCCCTCCATGCTACAGGATGACATCATGCACCACCCCCCCCCACCCCCCACCCCCAACACATCACAACCAGCACCAGCACACAACCAAACCCCCCCTCCACTCCATGTTCTTGGATGCTGGGTTGCCAAGACAACAGAGTTAGGCCCAGGCCGTGGGGCAGGACTTGGCAGTATATTGCGGCTTGGCTGTCCATAATGAGCTCAGGCAGCGTTGCTCTTGTGTTTGTGGTAAACAGTCTTGGGAAATGATAGGGGGAGACGGAAAGAAGGGGAGGGATATAATGGCGGGTTCCCTCTTCGTTCCACCTCTCGTCTGTAAGGAGTGTTGATGCAACTCTCTGCAATTGGAAAAGTATTTCAGCAAGCAGTGTTAAGCCACAATCTTTTAATGTCAAGTTTTGTGTCCATCGCTTTGCTCTCACTTGAAGCTCTGCCAAGTTTTGGTGCAAGTTTCATTGTGTCTTGCTTTCTCTCGCCTGAGTTTCAAGGAGGGAGTGTGTGTGTTCATGGGATGGAAGTTGGGAGGGCATTTGAAGAGGGATGCCGACTCATGCTAATGTAATTTGCTGTAAATAATGAAGCCATTGTTGTAGTTGTTAACCTTTATCTTTTTAGTATATTAGTATATCAACCCTGATTTTTTGAAGTAGAAGTTTTATTTTAACTTTCCAAGTTTGAAAATAAAAAGCCAAAAAAGATTCATGACATGTTTTCACAGATAAACCCTTTCCCCTCTTTATTTTTCAAGTACCCACAATTTAAATAAGGGCAGTAACTGGGGTGTTCCTCCATTCATCGGTTCATGACGTCAAGTAACAAATCCTGGGTTCTCCCACAGTATCGGAGCCAGAGGAGCTGCTATTGGCTGCCTAGCTCGGTTCGGTACAACCTGTGACCCTGACTAATAAATGCCACTTTTCATGCTGGTGTGCATCCAGGACTATTACAGAGTCTGTACACCAGAGTATCACACACATACAAATGGCCATTTCCCCTTGGAATTGTCGTTAATGAGGATAATTTGAAGTGAGGTTGACATGCAGCCCGGAGCCAAACCTTGTTGGTTCCAAACACTCCTGCAGCACAGACGCCTTTAAGCACACTCCAAACCATTTCCTCAAATTGGGGCTGCATCCGAAGAAAAAAATGACACAATTACCACTTGGTCTTGGAAAGGGTCCACATTTCATATAGAACCTTTGAATAACGTATGATGCATGGTAGTGCTTGTGCTGGTACATACTGGTTTTAATGGACAAAATAAGATAACTTTCTCCTTTTGCTCTTCCTGCACAGCTTTCTGTCTTTATCTTGTGCATCATGCCAAGTCTCTTACCCACTTTAAAGTGCCCCTCTCTGCAGTCTTCATGCGTTCCCTGTGGTGTGATGTGATTAACTGTGGTGTGCCGCGCTGGCCCCTCCTTGGACTTCCTTGGAAGAAAGTATAGCTTTAGTGGGTTTTCGAGCTTGGATGAGCGCTGACGGGGTATCGGTTACCTCTGGCATGCTGAGGGTGCGTGGGCTCCCAGTGACCATGACGTCGATCCCCTCAGCCCTGCTTGCACTGGAGAAATGGTGGGAATCCACTACTTTCCCTTTTCTCTGTATTTTCCACAATTGTTCTTTATAGAGGTAACCTATTTTCCAACAGGTTTTCACTTTCTAATGTGTCATGGGATTTACCTTGAGTTTATTATGACCATATTTTCCCAAGAAAGAACTTTATCAGTACATCAACAGCAAATTGATAGTGACATTAAGGTTATGTACTTCCCAAAAATCATAAAACACGCAGCAGTGTTTCTGCTTTATTCAGGGTGACAGCCTTGATTGGCAAGGTGACATAGATGAGGCAGTTGCATGGCAAACCATCCCTCAGTCTGGGCAAGCACCCTCTTTCACCCTCTCCATCCCTCGCCTCTCTCCCTCTCCCTTAATCCCCATTGAGAGGGAGAAGGGGAGACTCGGGAAGCAGGAGAGGATGAGGAGGTGGAGGGGGAGGAGGGGAGTCGCAGAACAGGCCAAAGGCTCCACTGACATCCATGGGAATCTGCAGATCCATTCAGCGGTAATTATCAGCATCAATGCAGAGAGGCAGTGGCAAGGCGAGGGGTGGGGGCAAGGGGGTGTGGGAGAGTTTTGGGGGGTGGGGTTGGGCGTGATGGAGAGGAGGAGGAGGTGGAGGAGGAGGAGGAGTAGGATGAGGAGGGGGGTGTCAGGCCAAGATGGAAATCATGGCCTACCAGAAGAGCCAAGAGGATGTAATGAGAGCGAGGTGGAGAGTGGAGTGGGTTTACTTTCAATTATGATAAAGATGATGTGACCTTACGAGCAAGCACATTTTGATTCAGCAGCAGTGTTTCCCTTTCCTTCATGTCCTGTCTCTGGAGAAGTGATTACAAGAAAAGACATTAATAGAGAGAGGAACTTTACGATACATCATCACAACTTAGGCCAGTAATCGCTTTTTATCTGTGATTAAGTCACTGGTCACTTGGAGTTTAGGTTGTAGGTCACACAATGACTGCAAGTTGTTGAAGGAGTTACAGTCAGTGCACGTTAGCTGCAAATATCGCATCCTCGTACTTTAAGCTTCATTTGCAGCATTGTTGTCGAGTTGGAGTATATCATCATTTTTCATGTGGACGTGTGAGATAGTAAAAGAATTCATGTGCGCATATGCTTCCTGCCTGTCTGCTGTGAAATGAAATGAAGGGGCACGGTAGAGGTTCTCAAGTCCGGGATGCCAGCCCTCTGTCCCCTCTGCATCATACATCACTCTGACAGGCCATTTCACTCCTTGATTCAGAATTCCAGCTGAGAGACCACCTCAAACGCTTTGGGTTGTCCCCGCTCGGCGAGAACGTCACTCCCAGCCCACTGAACACCACGTTTGAACTGCTGCCGAGTGGCCGCAGAGCCAGATCTGTCCAGCAGGGGAAATTATGACAAATGATTTTTTATTTTCTCCCTTTTTTCGCTTGAAATCTGATAATTTTCCAGCAGCACAGCAGCTTTAGTGGCCTGACCTTTACTGATTGGCAAAGAGGAAGGATTGGTTTCAAATGGAAGACACTAAAAATTTTAGAAGTGCGTTTTCCCCTGTAGTGTTGCTCATTTCTTCTCTCTGTGAAAGAAAGGTCAAGTCAAAGGTCAGGTCAGTACTTGTCCTCTTCGTTAGAAAAGCCGAGTGATATTCTGGAGTTTACCTTGGGAAACACAGTCAGATGGAGATGTCTCATTATGCCTCTGGTGAATTTAGACAGAGGGTGTCAACCTGTCAACTGCAGGGATAAATTATGTCTTCATGTGAAGCTGTCACACAGAACTGACACAATAAGTCAGCCACATTATTTGTGCACTATGCAGACAGCATTACAAGTTCCCTGTACTAACTTCTATTACTTGGTAAAACTTCAAATGATATATCGTCTGTGTTTTAAAAATAAAATACCTCAGACAATATTTTTAAGCTGATATTTAGAACAATTCCCCTAAAAAGCAGAAGTGAAATTCATATGCTGAAATGTGAAATGACTAAAAACAACATTCAACATGCAAATTTATTACAGCTAAAGTACAGCCTGTTTCACAAGTGATAAATTCACTATTTCAGACATGCTGCATATTCCCATAGATTTTCCTGACTTTACTGTACATTTATTTTCATGAACTGAATATCTTTATCTCTGGGTTGTCATGTCTGCTTCCAAAAACAGATGATGGTTGCTGTTAAAACCAT